ACTTAAAATCCTATTGTGGGGCTATCCCAAGATGGTTGGGATTGGGCCCAGTTTGCTTTTCGCACTGGTTGGGATTGGTCCCAGTTGGTTGGGATTGGGCCCAGTGGGTTGGGATTGGGCCCACATGCGGACCCCCCCCCCCTGGGGAGATCCAGCGGCGCACCCTTGCCGTTTTTAATGCATGCTCCGCGCGCGGATCATGTATTAAAAGTGCAGGGGTTTAGTATTAAAAACAACGATGAGCTCATGCATAAAATTATTTCTAAATTAATCATGTACTAAAATCCTATGTCTTACAAAATCCCATGTACTAAAAACTGCCCTGTATGAATCAAAGCACAAGGTCACAGAGCCGCAGATGTTTGCAGCAACATATCCAGCAGCACGCAGACACCAGCATTCACGACACCATCACCCTGCATATGCCTCTGGATGTGCGGCGCCTTGCCGATGGCAGTGGCGACGTCGACAAGACACGACTCGGAATCCATGAGGCACGTTTTGCAGGCGGGGCTTCCGTGTTTCCTCCCTTGCACGTTGCAACCGTGCACGGCAACGGCGGGGATAGGGCAAGGGAAGCGCAAAGAAGGTGCGGGGGCGCTTTGCGCTAGCTGCATATTGTTTAACCCTCTCCTCCAGACGGCGCAAAGAGATGGCTTGGCCGATATGGGCAGCAGTGGCTTGAAGGGAGCAACGGTGGGCGAAGTCGCGTGTGCACGTGCCCTGTGCTCTGGGAAATCTCTTCCCGCCCAGATGATTGCGCCCCCTACCCTAGCCGGCTTGTTGGGAGAGGGCGTTCGCCTTATGGGTTCAGGGCCTTCCCCGTCCCCCGCCATGAGCTGGCAGCCGCAAGCAAGGGGCAACATGGCAACGCTATTGGAAGCATGGGGTTTCGCGCACCGCTGATAGTTCGTTGTTCACATCCTCCTCCTCCCTCCCCCTTGCTTTCGTCCGATCATTGGTAAGGGATCAGCGACAGTATGAAGAGGAGGGTGAGGTGGCAAACGTGGTGGATGCTAAGGAGGCGGTGCAGGTGGTGGATAGGGAGGGGCACGGGAAAAGTGATGCTGAGGAGGCGGAGCAGGCGGCGGAAGGAAATTAGGCAACCAGGTGGAATGAGGATGTCGAGGAGGAGAAGGAGGAGGAGGAGGAGGACTTGTTGAGGAAGGAGTGAACCATAGGAGGCAAACGGGGAAGAGGACTGTGAGTTGGAAACGCGATCTGATCCCGCTGCGTGCCGTCAGGGTGTCGCTTGAGCCGATCGAGATTGCCAGGTGGCCTCCCAGCAATGCGAACACTCTGCGCCATAGACGGCGTTTGGAGGAGGAGGAAGAGGAGGAGGAGGAGGAGGAGGAAGTTGAAGAACAGCTGGCCTGCAACAGTTGGAGGGACGGGCCGTGAGAGCCCCAGACCCCGTCAAGGAAAAAAAACCAGCGAGACTGGCGCGAGGGATGGCGCTTGTCGAGGGGCGCCTGGCAAAGGAGAAGGATGGAACCGTGCGAGGAAGAAAGAGCTGTTCCGGAGCTCCGCGCGCCGGCATCCCCTGGCGACGCCTCCGGCGCCGCCCCTGGCGCACTCCGCGCGCCAGGGAGAGGGGTCCGGCACCGCTGCAAGAAATCTGTGCGAAACGCCATCGTTTCTGCTTACGCCGCTTACTCTTCTTCGAGCCACAGCGGGCTCAAACGATGCGGCTCCGACGGGGAGGATCGGGGCAGCGTGACCGCACCTCGTGGCGAGTCCTTGGCCATTCGGGGTCACCGCACGGTTTTGGGGCTCGGGTCGTTCTCCGAGGACGTCGTTGGCGACCAGGGCCTCCACGGTCCCAAAGCCGTGCGGTGAGGTCTTCTGGGATTGTGAGGTCACCACACCTGTGTGTCACATAAATGACACAAACCATTTTTCGGACATACATGTTGGCATAAATTAACCTGGCGAAAGACCCAGCCATATGCAGTTGTGAATATTGCAATTGTGAATGCCATCTTCGCCCGCGCTCCCTATTTGGCCACGGCTTCCCACCGGAGACCGACATGCTCAGGGATACGTTCGTGGCCGTCTTCGCGGGCGCCGACGACGACAAGGACGGCGTCCCTCTGACCGAGGAGCAGAAGCAGGAGAGGGCTTTGAGAGCCATGAGGGAGGAGGTGGCGTTGCACGCCAACAAGGCGGAGTACGACGCCCAGGCGCGGTTGTTGAAGCAGCACAATTGGGGCCACGATCCTCGCGAGGGGTGCGCCGAAATGGCCCGAGGCCCGATCCTCGTGAGGGTGCGCCGAAGTGGCCCGAGGCCGCCACGCGAACCCTGCCACTGGGGCCTTCCGTGGAGCTCCCTATGGGGCCACGATACATTGCATTGGGCGGGCGCAACGCCGGGAGGAGGGAGGAGGAGAAGAGGAGAAGAGGAGGAGGCGGAGGCGGGAGGGAGGGAGGGACCCGGGGCCCGTCTCTTCAAAACGAGGACCCAACACCACAGGGCAAGGAACAATTAGCCTTGTGAAAGACCCAACCATACGCAGTGGCGAATATCGCAATTCTGAATACCATCTTCGCCCACGCCCCCCCTCCGGCCACGGCTTCCCATCGGAGCCCGAGATGCTCAAGGACACGTTCGCGGCCGTCTTCGCGGGCGCCGACGACGACGGCGCCCCCCTGACCGAGGAGCAGAAGCAGGAGAGGGCTCTGAGAGCCACGAGGGAAGCTGCCAGTGGCGCTTTCGGTGGAGCTCTTATGGGGCCAGGATCCTCGCGCGGGGTGCGCCGACATGGCCCGAGGCCGCTATGCGAACCCTGCCGCTAGGGCCTTCGGTGGAGCTCCCTATGGGGCCACGATCCTCGCGATGGGGCGTGCCGAAATGGCCCGAGGCCGCCATGCGAACCCTGCCATTGGCGCTGTCGGTGGGATTCTTATGGGGCCACGGTCTTCGTCAAGGGTGTGCCGAAATGGCCCGAGGCCGCCACGCGAACCTCGCCACCGGCGCCTTCGGCGAAGCTTTTATGGGGCCACGATCCGTGTGCGGGGCGTGCAGAAATAGCCCGAGGCCTCCATGCGAACTTTGCGACTGGCGCCTTCGGCAGAGTTCATATGGGGCCACGGTCCTCGCGAGGGGCGCGCCGACATGGCCCGAGGCCGCCGTGCGAATATTGCCACTGGCCATGCGAACTTTGCTACTGGCGCCTTCGGTGGAGCTCCCTGTGGGGCCACGATCCTCGCGAGGGGTGTGCCGACACGGCCCGAGGCCGTCACGCGAATTCTGCCACTGGCGCATTCGGTGGAGCTCCTATGGGGCCCCGATCCTCGTGAGGGGGGTGCCGAAATACGATCCCCGTGAGGGGTGTGCCGACATGGCCCGAGGGGGCCATGCGAACTTTGCGATTGGCGCCTTCGGTGGAGTTCATATGGGGCCACGGTCCTCGTGAGGGGTATGCCGAAATGGCCCGAGACCGCAATGCGAATTTTGCGACTTGCGTTTTCGGTGGAGTTCCTATGGGGCCACGATCCTCGTGAGGGAAGTGCCGAAATGTCCCGAGGCCGCCATGCAAACTTGGCCATTGGCGCCTTCAGTGGAGCTCCTATGGGGCCACGATCCTCGCGACGGGTGTGCCGAAATGGCCCGAGGCCGCCATGCGAACTTTGCCACTGGCGCCTTCGGTGGAGCTCCTCTGGGGCCACGATCCTCGTGAGGGGTGTGCCGACACGGCCCGAGGCCGCCATGCGAACCGTACCAGTGGAGCCTTCGGTGGAGCTCCTTATGGGGCCACGATCCTCGCGAGGGGTGTGCCGACACGGCCCGAGGCCGTCACGCGAATTCTGCCACTGGCGCATTCGGTGGAGCTCCTATGGGGCCACGATCTTCGTGAGGGGTGTGCCGACATGGCCCGAAGCCGCCATGCGAAGTTTGCAAGTGGTTCCTTCGGTGGAGCTCCTATGGGGCCACGGTCCTCGTGAGGGGGGTGCCGAAATGGCCCGAGGCCGCCATGCGAGCTTTGCTACTGGCGCCTTCAGTGGAGCTCCTACGGGGCCACGATCCTCGTGCGGGGTGTGCCGACATGGCCCCAGGCCGCCGTGCGAATTTTGCTACTGGCGCCTTCGGTGGAGATCCTATGGGGCCACGATCCTCTATCAAAATGGGGTGGTGCCGAGATCGGTGATGATGATGATGGTGATGATGATGATGATGATGGCGATGATGTTGATGTTGATGTTGATGGTGGTGATGATGCTGCTGATGATTTTGATTATTCTTATTATGAGTAAAATGTATGGCGATGTTGATAACGATGGTGATGACGATGATGCGAAGAGGAGGGAGGGCCAGCGGGCGGAAGAAGGAACGGTTGGGAAAAACATACATTGGCATAAAAATATCACAGGGAACAAATATTGACATGAATATAAAGTTTCGGAGGTCCGCGCGGGTTTGTTGGATCGGCGTTGGACCCCCTACCCGGCGGAGCGTGGAGCGCACCGGGGCGGTGCCGGAGGCGCCGCCAGGGGGGTTCAGCGCCGAGCCAAGAAATCCGCGCGGAACTCCAAAAATTGTAATGTTCGTGTCAGTTCCCCGAGATTTTCGCGACCCCCAAAACTTGGCATCGTTCGGACGTGCCATTTTGTTCCCCGGCGAGGACCATCGAGGAGCATCACGGAGCATTTTGCTTATATATATATATATATACATACATACATACATACATACATATATATATATATATATATATTATATAACGCGCACGATACCGAAAATTGCATGGGGAATGGACGTCGGAGCGACGGCAAGAAATCTGCGCGGAGCTCAACAAAAAGTTGTTACATTCGTGTCATGTGTTCCCCGAGTCTTGCGACCCCCAATGGCCGGCAGCGAGCGAGGGTGGGAAGTGAGAAGATGAAGGCACTCTCAGGGAGCTCGGAAGCCCCCCGGACTTCTGAGAAGTTTTCGAAGCCCCGCAGCCTTCTGAGAAGGCCTTTTCCTTCTCGCTTCCCCCCCTCGTTCGCCGCCGACGCAGGAGCTGCCCGGGTACACGGCGGAGGAGAAGGTGCACGTTGTGCGGAGGCACCTCCTGCCGAAGCTGCTGCGGCTCCACGCCTTGGCGGGCCCGGCGGCCGGGAGCCTTGTTTTTGTTCTCCGTCGGGGCTCAAGAGACGGGGGTCGATGTAAAGGGGGGTCAGCCAGAGCGCCAGATGTTACACGATCCTGCAGGGCCAGTGCCGCATGAACCTGGTTTTGGGTGCGATCGTGCAGGATCCTTCGCATTGACCCAGGGTTGGGCGCAGGATCCTGCAGGGTCTTGCAGGATTCTGCAAGGCCTGATTGACCCGGGTCTGGATTGACCCGGGTCAGAAGATCCCCGACTCCGTCCGCCCTTCTCGGAGTTGTGCCGTGTCTTTCTCGGCGCGGACCATCGAGGAACATCCCAGATCTTCGGGCCCCCCCAAGAAAAAGACACACTTTTTGATTCGCGGGTCGAGAGCGCACCTCTTCCCGTCGAAGCTAAGCGGGCCGCGCGAAGCTTGAAGAAAAAAAGGAAAAGACACAGGAAACCGAAACAATGGCACGGGGAGTGGACGTCCGAGCGACGACAGGTCCTTCGAGAGACGAAAAACGGCCCTGGCGCCCACGAGGCGTGCCCCGCCCCAGAAAGCCTGAGTTCGACGCTTTCGCATACAGTATGTTGGCATCGTGTTCGCCAGGGTCGACACGACACGAACCCGCGGTATTTTCGTTGGTTCCCCCAGTTTTCCAGCCTCGGGATGCGTTCCAGCAGCTGCGCCTCGCCGAGAGCGTTCTGGGGGTGCCCGGGTCGTCTCGAACGGCCGCTGGAGGCCTGAGTTATTTCGGGGAAACGTAAGACTCGAGTAAGCCAGAACTCGGGTTTGCCGACGCTTTTGGACGAGCGTGTCCTGGATTTTGACGGTCCATTCTTCGTGGGATGCTTGCAGCGGGAGCTCGCGTCAAAGTTCAGATTGGGTCTCGTTCTTTGTGGCCCCGTCAGGCCAACCCGAGTCCCCCGAACCCAAGTTTCATGTCTCCCCGACTATTGCCCGAAAACCACCAGGCGTGGGGGGGGGTCCGACTTCATTGCCGCTGAAATTTGACGTGAGCTCCCGCTGCAAGCATCCTTCGAAGGCTGGACCGTCAAAATCCAGGACACGCTCGTCCAAAAGCGTCGGCAAACCCGAGATCCGGCGCACTCGAGTCTTACGATTCCTCGATTATTGCCCGAATACCACCAGGTTTGGGGGGGGCCGACGTCGTTGCTGCCGGGAGCCGCGTGAGCGTGAAAATGTTCGCGTGCGCCCCGATCCGGGGCACAAGAGCGAATTTTGGCCAGGGTCGATGGAGGTGGTGCGCTGGCGTCAACTTCCGCAAGTCCGCGCAGATTTCTTGGATCGGCGCAGGTTTCTTAGATTGGGACGCAAAGGGGGAACGATAGAGGGAGGACGAAGAATGGAGCGGCCAGGAGGGAGGACGACAGATGGAGGGGAATTGAAGGGTCGACTGGTCGTAAGAGTGACCTTTCGCTGGAGTGACCTTTGGTGCGGGCCCAATGGGGTCCCCCGATCGCCGAACTCGATGCGACAGCAGCGTCTTGCGCGCTTGTGTGTTGTTCCCCCCGCGGCCCACAAAAACCCGCGCACCAAAGGTCACTCTTGCCCAGGGTCACTATTGCGTGCAGTCGAAAGAGGACGGCATGGAAAGGAACGGAGGGGGGAAATAGAGGAGCCAAAAAAGGCGTCAGCATAAATTGTTTTAGGTCCACGCGGAAATTAGATTGGATCTGTGCCAGACCCACCCCTTGGTGCGCGGAGCGTGCCAGAGGGGGCCCAGCGCGGATCCAAGAAAGTTGAGCGGACCTGCAGAAGTTGACGCTGGCGCCGTGTTTTGGTGTTTCCTGATTCCCCCTCGGCCATTTGCCCCTCCCTTCCCCATCCCTCCCCCCTCTACATTTGTGCTCCTGGATCTCCCTTCGGCTCTTTGCCCCTCCCTTCCCCTCTCTCTCCCCATCTACACTTGTGCTTCTTGATTTCCTCCTCGGCTCTTTTTCCGTCCCTCCCCCTCCTTCCCCCCTCTACGTTTGTGTTTCTTGATTTCCCCTTCGGCTCTTTTCCCCTCCCTTCCCCTCCTTCCCCACTCTACGTTTGTGGCTCTTGATTTCCCCCTCGGCTCTTTCCCCCTCCGTTCCCCTCCCTGCCCCCTCTACATCAGTCGTCACCGCTCCCTCCCGTTGAAAGCGTTGAACATGCCGCGGCCCCAGAATAGCAGCACGACACACTGAAGCCGACACTGGCCCTCTTAGCAGACTGCGTCACCTGGGGCAGAGATCCCCCGCCACCGCCGTCTTCTCCGCTTCGCATCACAGGAACAGGCCTGTATCCCTATCCAGAGGGGTAGGTCGGCCGGTCGGACCCGGGCTGCACCCATGGGGACAGGGGTCGGTTGTAGAAGAAGGAGGAGGAGGAGGAGGAGAAGAAGAAGAAGAAGAAAAAGTGCGGCACAAATGTTCTGCGTTCCGCGCGGATTTCTTGGGTCTGCGCTGGACCCCCCTCCCTGGCGCGTGGAGCGCGCCAGGGCGCCGCCAGGGGGGCCCAGCGCAGATCCGAGAAATTCGCGCGGAGCCCCGAAAGTTGATATGTATGCCGTTTTTGCTTCTTCCAGTTTGAGCGGCGCTCACTGACGGGGCGCCGCTGGGTGTGTCCGCCGCGCCGTAAAGCCCCAAGCACAGAACCTATGCGGACTGCCCGTGGCCAGTCTGAGCAGCTCTCGTGCCTCGCGTCGTGTTCCGAGGTGACTTCACAAGAGGCCCCGCAGCGAGGCGCCCAGGCTTCACGGGAGCCCACCCTCGCCACGGGAGGGAGGGAGGAGGGGAGCAGAGGGGAGGAGGAGGATGAAGGAGCAGGGAGGAATAGGAAGGGGAGGGAGGAAGAGGAGGAGGAGCAGGAGGAGGAGAAGGAGGAGGAGAAAGAGGAGGAGGAGGAGGACGAGGAGGAGGAGGAGGAGGAAGAGGAGGAGGAGGAGGAGGAGGGAGGGGGAGGAGGAGGAGGAGGAGGAGGAGGAGGAGGAGGAGGAGGAGGAGGAGGAGGAGGTGCTCCCGTTCGGCTCCTCTTCCGCCCATCCGTGATCAGCACCCCTTCCCCTTGGCAGCTGCGGGCGGCCGGCCCCGCCCATTGCTGGCCGGGTTGTAGCAGATCCTTGATCCTTGTGGTTGGCATCACTTTACGGGCGGACCGAGGTAATTATAAGGTCGAGGTCGGTTCGGCGAGAGTACCCTGATGTTCTTGGTGCTTGTGAGATGTTTTTGTGCATCCTGGGAGGGGTCTCGAATGTTCTTCAGTTTGGCTGGCGGAGGGGATTATGTGTTTCCAGGATGTGTTTATGGTTCAGGTCCGACTGTACCTCGATGCCGATCTTGAGGGTTCCCTCCGCTTCTGAGGGCACATCCCAAAGATTGTCATCGCCTTGGGTTTGCCGATCTTCACCGACCACGTTCCACTACTCGCCAAGCGCATACTCGCAAACATCCCAGAAACATACGGCCGGCGGCTTCGATGTCATGGATCGTTAAATCCCCCGCGGCAAATCCGGGCCAGTTGTGATCCGTTATTTTGCGAGTAGTGGAAAGCGTTTGTCTAGATCTTGAGGATAGAGATAAGTTCGAGTCTGGCGATCATCACGTGATTGGTTGTTATTCAGTGTTTTGCCCATCCGCGCGGGCCCTCGCACACACACACACACACACACCCCATGTAGATCCTGGCTGTTTTTGGCGCCTGTTTCGAGCAGGTGGAGCCTCCCCCACAAGACGCACTGTAACAGACAGTCGCACTAAGCAGAGGTCCGGAGCAAGTCCCTGGCGCGCGGAGCGCACCAGGGGCGGCGCCGGAGGCGCCGCCCATGGGGGTCCAGCGCAGAGCCAAGAAGCCCTCGCGGAGCCTCGATTCTCATGGCATCGCTCGGACGTGTGCATTTTTTCTCAGCGAGGAGCATCGAGGAGCATCGAGAGATGAGTTCGAGTCTGGTGATCATCACCCCTCCCCCCGGGTAGCTCGGGGCGGCCCGGCCCCCCGCCCAGGAGTGGCGCCGCCTCCGCTGCGGCACCCCAGGAGGGCGCCGCGCGGCTGCGGCTGACGCCGGAGGCCTCTATTGGGGGGCGCTGGGGGGGCCTCGTCGTCTTGTCGCCGCCCTAGAGTCCCAGGCATCTTGAGTAGGGGATCGACTATGTGATCGTTTTCTTCTTCATTGTTTTGCCGATCGGCGCGGACCCTCGCCCCCCCCCCCTCCCCCCTCCATGGAGTGGATCTTCGCTGTTTTTGGCGCCTGTTTCAGGCAGGTGAAGTCTCGCCTCTGGGGCCGTCTTGGGCCATCTTAGAGCCATGTTGGCCCGTTTTGGTGGACTCCTGGCCCGTCTGACGCCGTCGGAAGCTGTCTTGGGGGCCTATCCGATTGGGAGCCCTCTTGGGGTACTCCAGGGCCGTCTTGGAGACCATCTTGGGCGTCTTAGAGGCCGCTTGGGCCGTCTTGGGGCTCTCCTGGTGCGGTCTTGGGGGCCTCTTGGGCCGTTCTGGGGCCATCTTGGAAGCCTCTTGGGCGCTCTGGGGGCGATCTTTGGGGGCTCTTGGGCCGTCTCGGGCCGTCGGAAGGCCGAACAGAAGCAAATGCCAAAATCTTTCAATTCCTCAGAAAATTAATGATTTGGGCCTCTTCGGGCCTTCCTGGAGGTCCTCTGCGGGGCCTCTTGGGCCGTCTTGGAGGCTTCTTGGGCCGACTTGAAGGCATCTTGGACCATCTTGGGCCGTCTAGGAGGCCATCTTGAGGTCATCTTGGCCGTCTTAGAGGCATATTAGAGACCATGTTTGACCATCTTGGCCATCTGGAGGCCATCTTGAGCAATCTTTAGCGAAAAAGCCGACGAGAGGGGCACCCTGGCAGGACGTGCCGAAGCCCCAGGGAGATATTTTTAGAAAAAGAACCAAAACCAAACCGTCTAGGATCCAGCACGCTGGGCACCCCAGTGGCAAGCCAACACGGGGCGGCGGATCGAAGATGCCTACGGCGAATCACCGCCGCCCCCTGCCTTCTAGAATCGCCCATGTGGCCGAGCGTTGTGGCGAGAGCTCTGCCAAGCTAACGGACCATGTGTTCCCCCAATCGTTGTGGAAACCCTTCGGGGAACACTTGGGGGAGGATGGCGGGTGGCGGGGGAAGATCAGGAGGAGGGGGAGGAGGAGGTGGAGGAGGAAGAGGAGGGTCAGTGTAAACCCAAGAGCCATCAACAATGTTGGAATACAGCCTCCCTCCAAGCACCCTCTTCATAGGCCCCTACATCGGTTCATTTCCACTGAGGGATCTGCCTCGTTGGAAGACAACCGTTTGAAGACCTGGAGGCATGCCAAAACATTGTTCTCGGGATTCCAACGCCACGGATCAACCTGTTTGTTGCGTCTTGACGATCTTGGATCTTGCCAGAACGCCATTCTTGGGTCAACGTACTTGTTGCACCCACAATCCTCAATCCTTCCAAACCACACTTTCTGGTACGTTGATCGTGGGAATCCGTGAAACTCTCGCAGCTGTTTAGAACGAATGTGCGTGGCGCTAAGGTGAGAGCCACATGTTGAAAAGGAGTTGCCCTCAATCCGTGAAACTCTTGCAAGTTTTGCAGAACGAGGCGAGAGCCACATTTCGAAAACGGGCTATCCTCAATCCGTGAATATCTGCCATGTTTTAAAACGAATGTACGCGGCGCTAAGGCGAGAACCACATTTTGAAAACGGGTGATTCTCAATCCGTGAAACTCCTGCATTTGTACAACGAATGTGCGCGGTCCTCAGGCGAGAGCCACATTTCGAAAACGGATTATCCTCAATCCGCGAAGCTCTTGCGATTGTTTAAAACGAATGTGCGCGGCGCTAAGGCGAGAGCACCCGCCTTCCATTGAAACTATTGCCAATTCTTAAACTTCAGAATCATTAATGGTGCGGACGTCTCAGGCAAAACGCCCAGCCCGCCCTGAAAATTGGCCTCGGGGTGAGACAGCGAGAAACTGTATAAGGAAAAGGAATGGAGGAGGAGGGGGCATCTTGGGAGCCTCTGGGGACACTCTTGGGGCCTCCTGGGAGCTTCCTGGGAGCCTCTTGGATACATCTTAGGGGCCTCCTTGGGCCTCTTGGGAGCCTTTGGGAGCTTCTCGGGGGCCTCTTTGGCAGTCTTGGTGGGCTCCTGGCCCGTCTGACGCGGTCGGAAGCCGTCTTGGGGGGCCGTCGGAAAGCCGAAAAGGAGCAAATGCCAAAATCCTTCAAAAACCTTAAGAAAATCAAGGATTTGGGCCTCTGCGGGCCTTCCTGGAGGACCTCTTGGAGGCCTTTTGGGCCGTCTTGGAGGCCTCTTGCGCGCCTTTTGGGCCGTTGAGGCCATCTTGGGCCGTCTTGGATGCATCTTGGGGCCACCTTAGCCGTCTTGGAGGCCACCTTGGCTGTCTTGGAGGCATCTTGCAGGTCATCTTGGGCCATCTTCGTGATTTTGTTGAGGATATCCCGAGCGAAACGGCCGTTTTGGGGGCTTTGCAGCCACCTCTGGGCAAGCCTCCCGGGACCCCGGCGGGACGGGCCGGAGGCCCAGGGGCAGTTCTTTTGGACAACAATCATCCTTCCTGTTCAGTTCAACATCCACCTGCATTGTGGGCCCCGCTCCATCTCATTTCCATCCGCTTCCTCTCGCCCCCGCTCTTCCTTCCACTCTCCCTCCCGCCGCCGCCCCAGCTCATGACTGCACCTGCGTCTCTCCCTGCTCCTCTCCCTCGTCTCTTCCCCCCGACCCTCTCGTCCCCCCAATCCTCTCACCGTCCTCCTCCTCCTCTTCATCCGCCTCTTCCTCCTCTTCCTCCTCCTCCTCCTCCTCCTCCTCCTCCACCTCCACCTCCTCATCCTCCCCTCCTCCCCTTGTCCACCCCTGTCACTTTATCCCCTATCCCCTTCCTCATGCAACTCCTCCACCTGCTCATCCACCTTCTCCTCCTCCCCATCGGCCCTCCCCCCTCTCCTCCCTCCCTCCTCCCCTCCCCGCCAGTCCCGCCCGCCGAGCAGCCCCCCCCTCGGTCCATGCTGGCCGTGACCGCGTGACCCAAGCGCGCGTGGTTCTCTCTATGTCTGTGCCCCAAGAGGCGCCCAAGACGCGCCCAAGAGGCCCCCAAGAGGTCCAAAAGAGAGCCCAAGGGGCCCCGAAACTGCCCCCAAGAGGTCTGGAAGAGGAAACACCACAGATGTTCATTAGTTTTCCATTTTTTCACCCAAAAAATCCCAATTATTATCGCGCCCTCCCTTTCTTTGGCTTCCGACGCTCCCAAACGGCCCAAGAGGCGCCCAAGGTCGCCCCAAGACAGCCCAAGAGACCCTCCGTGGCCATTTGAGCTCAAGCAATCTGTGCTCCAAGCTCAGGATATTCGAGAGAGAGAGAGAGAGAGCGTGATCCACCGCTCTTTACTGTGGAACATTCCCCCCCCCTCTTCCTCCAGAACCCGGGGGTCCCCCCCCCCTTCGAAAATCCCCCCTGGCTGGACCCCCCCCTTCCTCCCGGCAAAGCCCCCTCCGGAAAACCGGGAGGGTCACTACCAGTTCGAACCACCCACCCCCCTCCAGAAAACTCTGGGGGGTCGCTGTCGGCTCGAACCCCCCACCCCCCTCCAGAATACCGAGGGGGGTCACTACCGGTTCGAACCACCCCCCCCCTCCAGAAAACCGGGGAAGGTCACTGCCGGTTCGAACCCCCCCCATTCCAGAAAATTGGGAGGGGGTCACTGCCCGTTCGAACCACCCCCCCCACTCACCGCCGGCAAGCGACTCCCGGGTCCCCACCACCGTCCGCACCACATCCCCACTGCTGTCCCCAGCACCACTGTCCCCATCACCACTGTCCCCACTATTCCCACCACCGTCCCCACTGTCGCACCGTCCCCACTGTCCCCACCACTGTCCCCACCACTGTTCCCACCACCGTCCCATTCTCCCCAAATTCACCACCACTGTCCCCACCACTGTCCCCACCACCACTGTCCCACTATTCCCACACCACTGTCCCCACCACCACCGTCCCTACCACTGCCCCACAGTCCCCACCACTGTCCCCAGTGCCCCCACCAATGTCTCACTGTCCCCACTCTCCCCACCATTGTCCCACCACGGCCCCACTCTCCCCATTGTCCCCACTGTCCTCACCACTGTCTCCACTGTTCCCACCACTGTCCCACTGTCCTCACCACTTCCTCCTTCCTCCTCTCCTCCTCCTCCTCCTCCTCTCTCTCGGCACTGTGTGTGCGTCCGTTCCCACACGCTTGGTGAGGAAGAGAACGGCTTTCAAGTGCAACCGGCATTCGCGTTACGACGGTGGTTCTTGAATCATGCGGCCCGCTCCCATCTTCTCCCTCCCAAAAAAAAAATGTTCCCACCACTGTCCCACTGTCCCCACCGTCCCCGCCGCTGCCCCACTGTGCTGTCCCACTATCGCCACTGTCCCCACCACTGTCCCACTGTCCCCACTGTCCCCACCACTCACTCTCCCCACTGTACTACTGTCCCACCACCGTCCTCACCACCGCCTTCACCACTGTCCGCACCACTACCGTCCCCACCACTGTCCCCACCACTGTCCCGCTGTCCCCTCACCACTGTCCCCACCACCACCGTCCCCACCACTGTCCCACTGTCCGCACCACTGTCCCCACACCACTGTCCCCACCACCACCGTCCCCACCACTGTCCCAGTATCCCCACCACTGTCCAACTGTCCCGAGGAGCGGGAGTCGTTTGCCGGCGGCGAGGGGGTTGGGGGTTCGAAACGGTAGTGACCCCCCCCCCCTTTTCATGATGGACTAGAGGGGGGGGGGGTTCGAACCGGTAGTGACCCCCCTGGTTCTCGAAGGGGGGGGGGACGGGCGGGTTGGGAACCCCCAGTGACCCTCCCCGGTTTTCCGCCAGCAGCGGTAGAACACGCTTTTTCGGAGATTCATATTTTGACTGCCGGCATCTGCGGGCAATTCAAGTTACACCCGCGAGGCAAATGTTGCGGCTGCTCCTTGCAATCTTTTCAGCATTTGTCTTCATCAAGATTTTGGCTTCAGAGACATGCAGCAACCAGGTGCTGAAGCAAAACAACAACATGCTTTGCCCAGAGGGCTATGGGTTTCCAGCATCAAAGGCGGTGTGTGTGGCCGCGGCACAGGCCCTTGGGTTCGATGGCGTCGTTGGTGAAGAGGGCCCGTACGGCGAAGACAATCCGCAAAACCATCCGCCATGCTTCCATGTACCCACTGAAATACAATGGGTTTTGCCAGGGTACTGCGGCGAGGTGACCTCTCAATGGCTCGACCTTGGCGCCGTGTGCGTGAAGTGTTGCGGTGGCTGCTTCGAGTGCATGGAGTGCGAAGGGATGGCAAACTGCTCCGCGGTAACGGAACCGCCAGCCTCCGGCGCGCCTTTTGGAGCTTGTATGTCTTGTGCCATGGTGTTCATGATGGTTGTCGCGCAGTGGTGTTGGTGAAACATGGTTTGTGAGCCTCCGCGATCGACCGCTCCAGCGTTGATACCGCCCGAATGGGCCTTTGCAGATGTCTCACCGCGTCGACAATGATAAGATGTTTTCCCTTTCTCCCCTCATCCCGGTTTGCACTCGACTGCCGATCCATGAAATTGTTGACACTTCGCATCTCCCCACCAGCCCATCCAGATGCGATGCACAGGGGAGTTGAGGTGATCAGGGAAGTGGGGGAGCATGCAGAAGAACGAAGGGCGGGGAAAGCCGTCATATACCCCAAGAGGGAGATGGAGGAGGAATCGTCGTCGTCATCGTCGGAGGAGGAGGAGGAGGAAGAGGAGGAGGAGGAGGAAGTGGAGTAGGGCGCCCTCTTAGGGGCGCTCTTGGGAGCTTTAGGGGCGCTCTTGGGACCAGCTTGGAGGGTATCGATCAACCAGGGGGGAGATTCAATGAGGGTCCCTCCTCGGGAGCCCCAAGAGTCGCCTCTTGGGGCGCTCTTGGGGTTCTCTTGGAGCTCTCTCGGGTGCTCTTGGAGCCGTCTTGGGGCTCTCTTGGGTCTCTCCTGGGGCCATCTTGAAGCCATTTTGAGGCTTCGGATGACAATCGGAAGCGAAAAGGCGAGAAAGCAAAACCAGTAATTTCTTTAGGTGTTTGAAGGATTTGGGCTTCTTTGAGGCCTCCTTGGCGGTCTCGGAGGCCTCTTGGAGTCGTCTTGAAGCGTTCTTGGGGCCTCTTGGAGCATCATGGAGCCGACTTGAGGCGTCTTGGGCTATATTGAGCCATCTTGGAGGTCATCTTAGGCTCTGAGGCCCTCTTGGAGCCATCTTGGGCGAAAAAGTACCCTCTGACACCTCGCGGGGCGCCCCGTCCAGGTCCAGGGGAGGGGAGAGGGGGGAGGGCTAAACCCCTCCCCGAAGTGGAAGAAGGGTGTTGGAAGAGGAGTCCGACGGCGACGTTCGGGAGGGCGACTGCGCCGCAGCTGCATGGATAATCGGCTTGTGGTCCAGAGTGCCAGGAGGCTACACATATGAGCCCCGGATGGTCCACGGCACGTTTTGGCACTCGCCTTGCAGCGCGTTTGCTGCAGAAGCCACAGCGCTCGACGAGGCTTCGAAGGAAGTGGCCTGTCTTCTTAATAGATAGGTATCAAACGGCTGCAGTCTAGGCTACTTGCGCCGCGCCAAAGAGAGAAAGAGGAAACTCCCTAGACCACCTACGCCCAGAGGGCTGGTGGGATTTATCTAGCTTTCGGCGTGTGGCGGCATCAACGTTTTGGCACTCGCTGTGGAAGCAGGATCATGGCTGGGGCCATGACATCTCCTCCGACCCTGAGATCCTGGGATCCTGGCGTCGCGGCTCTCTCGCAACAGGCGGTTTTTCGCCCGGTTCTGGGCCCCAGGGCTCTCACAGATCGATCGAGCTTTTTGAGGATGACGCAGAGCGATGGGGCCATGATGCCTCCTCCGACCTTGGGATCCTGGGATCCTGGCGTCACAGGCGTTTTCGCCCGGTCCTGGGCCCCAGGACTCGCACAGATCGATCGAGCTTTTCGAAGGTGACGCAGAGAGATGGGGTCCAGGGCTCCAGTCGTGATTTTTGCGATGTTGCAGTGTCTGCTAACGTCGGATAGGGGGGGAGTGTCCCCCTCGGGCCCCGGGGCCCGGGTCCCGGAGGTCCGTGGGGTCCCGGTGGCCCTCTGGCCCTTGAGGGCCCCGGTCCCTCTTTCTCGACCTCCCCTCTCCCGCTCTCCGGGTTTAGCTACGGGTTAGGGCTCGGACTTCTTCCGTAGCCCTTTGGGCTTAGGCTGTGCGCCTGGCGCTTAGCAAAATACATCCCCCCTCCTTCGCCCCCTTTCCACGCCTCCTGCCGTGCTCTCAGCTTGGGACAATGGTAAGCGGAGCAGCTGGTGAGGGGCAAGAGGGGGAGGATGATGCGGGCGCCGGCCGACAGCATGGCCAGACGCAGACGACGCCGACCGATCCCTGGGCTGGATCAGTTCCAGAGACCACGCGCCCCGCAGCCGGGGCCGCAACCTCAGCTGGCGCCCAGGACTCTTGGTGGCGCCAGACGTGGGGAAGCGCGTGGTCAGGGTGGAGCTCGGCAGCGGGCTCGTGGCAGTGGGTGCCGGCCCAGCCAGCGGCGGCGGACACGGCCGCGGCTGGCGCGGTGTCTACGGGTGCAGCGGCAGCGGCGACGGAGCAGGACGGGCAGAGTGACTCGAACCAGTGGGGTGGCTGGTGGAGTGGCTCCTGGGATCGCCCGAACCGCGACTTCGGCGCCCCGCCGGTGTGGCTCAACTATGAGCACCTCGACCTCTACAAGGGTAACCTACGCGCGTGGGCGAAGAGGACCGGGTACGCCGCGGAGGTTCAGGCAGCAAAAGTTCTGGAGACTCTTCCCGTCGAGATCCAAGGTAAGTTCAAGCTGGTGAGATCGACCTTGGACGTGCGCGACGGTGTGGAGAAGTTGTTGGACCACTTGGCGATACTCAACGGAGAACGCCCCGGCGACAAGGAGAGGGAGGCACAGAACGAGGCGCTTTTCGACTACAGCATCCGCCGTGGCGAGAGCTTGACGGACTACGTTATCAGGAGAGACGCCCAGATCTCGACGGCGGAGACCTTCGGACTGAAGCTTCCCGATGGAGTTCTCGCACGATACCTGGAGGAGGGTGCCAACCTCAGTCAGCAGAATAAGATTAACTTGAGGACGCTGGCGGGAGGCGACAAGTCGTTTAAGGCTATCAGACAAGCTCTTCTGTTGCTGGACGTGCGCGAGCGCAGCGTGCTCCCAGGCTCGACCTCGACGGCGACCAAGACCTACGTGGAGCAGACTCCGGAGGAGCTCGAGGTTTCGCCGCCTCCGGCCCCGTGGTGCGACGATCCGGAGGCGGTGTCGTTCTACGAGACGGTGGACGACTCGTTCGAGCTCCTCGAGGATGACGCTCAGACGTTCCTCACGGCCCTTGAGGAGCAGGACTTGGCGGAGGACGACCTGATGCCCGTCCTGGCCGCCATCGTAGAGGAAAAGATCGGAAAGGAGAAACGTCGGACCTGGACCGAGGTTCGCAAGATGAAGGCTACTCGCAAGGTTGATCGTGAATTCTTCGACCGTAGGCGCGCGTCCAAGCCAGGATACCGCCGTATCACCTCGGCCGACCTGAAGAAGAAGACGAGATGTGCCAACTGTGGTGAGCGCGGGCACTGGGCAGAGGACTGCAGGAAGCCCTACAGATCGAAGCTGGACCGGATTAATAGCGAGAAGAAGGGAGCCTCGTCCTCGGCTGCGACGAAGGGGTCCTCTCCTGGCTTCTTCTGCTACTCCAACGCCGACGGAGATCCCTCGTTCTTGACAGATGCTATGGCGATGGAGCTCGAGCTGGAGGCCGACCTCGACAAGAGCTACTGCGACGGGCTCGTGGCCGTCCGCGACCTGAAGCAGACCATCTCCTCCGCAGACGCGGAGATGATACAGCTGGGCCAGTACCAGCGCGTCTATGACAACTACGAGCTCGGGGCCGACCTCGGCTCGATTGTCGTTATCTCCGCCGGTGAAGCTGCTGAGTTATCTACGTGGGCGACCTTCAGCGTCGAACAGTGGGTAGGCCTGATTGGCCAGTCGGAGACACCGGAGGTTTCGCTTAGGAGCATGAGGGATCACGCACTTGTGGACACGGCAGCAGGCCAGGCCCTCATCGGAACCCCGGACGTGAAGAACCTAGTCGAGGCCTTTCGCAAGCGTGGCTACTTCGTGTTCGTCGACTGGACTCCGCTCGATGGTCGCAAGGCCTCGGGCATCGGCGGATCGGCCAAGACGGTGGGCAGGGCCTGGGTGCCATGCTCTTTGGCAGGACGTGGGTTCATCGAGTTTCTAGTCTTGGAAGGCCAGGTCCCGCCGATCTTGCCCGCCAAGTTTCTTGAGATGATCGAGGCTAACATTGATCTGAAGGCTGACGAGATGACTGTGACAGATTGCGGAGATAGAGTCGTGAGGCAGCTTTTCCGGATGCCGTCCGGGCATCGCTCGGTTTCTCTCATTCACTGCGCTCCCGAGCACTTCAGCATCCCCGAGGACATGAAGGCGAGCCTGCCCGCGGGCTGCCTGCCGCACCTCGTCCAGGACCGAAGGGGGGCGGGCAGTGAGGGCCGGGAGCAGCCTGTGCTTTCAGCCTTCCTCTCCTTTCTCTCTCGCTCTGGCTCTGTTTTGGGCTCCAGGGTCCGGGATCCGAAAGCCTCGGGGGTCCAAGGGAGCAGCGGGTCCGTAGCCTGTCCGGTTCAAGACGTCAGGGAGCTTAACCTGGCCTCGACCAGCCCGGAGGGCAACGACGCGGGATCGGATGCCCGATCGCAAGAAGCACGTTCTGAAGGCCACGGGGGTCGGCAGCAAGCCGGGGACTCCGAGGCGCAGCAAGTTGCTGGGCTCCATCATCGAGAGCGACAGCGAGATGTCGCCAGGACCGGAGTGGGAGCAGCTTCCGGAGACCCTCGAGGACACCCTGAGTGCCGAGGCGATGCAGGAGAGCGAGAAGGAGCTCTTCCAGAACGGCCACACGCAGCTAAGGAAGTACGAGTATCGTTGGCGCAACTGGTACCTGCGCCTGGTCAACATGACGTACATCCTGGGCCGGATGAAGCACCTCTGCCAGAAGCTCCCGAAGACGTTCGTCGAGAGCTTCCCCATCGACTCGTGTCCTCACCCGCCGTGGGCTCGAAAGTCGGGGAGCAACTCCACCAGCGTCTACGAGCACTGCCAGCAGTGCTCCCAGCGCCTCTTCTTGAGGGACAAGACGCCGGAAGAGATCTTCGAGGCCGAGAAGCGCAAGATCGACAAGCAGGCGGGCAAGGCCAACCGCGCGGACGCCAAGGCGAAGGCAGCTCAGATGGTGGAGGCGTACAAGAGCGGCCACTTCCCGATCATGCCACCGGATCCGTGGACGCCAGGACCGGAACCTCAGCGAGCTCGCCGCGTCCTGGAGGGGAGCGGACCTACGGCGAAGGTGTCGGCGG